TTTGTTCTGCTCCGCGTAATTTGGCAGCAAAAACGCATTTCACACTGGTCTTTTGCTGCGGTCTTCTCCATTTTTGCGGCATGGGAACTGCGCTGAGGTGATTCTTAGTAGAAATCGGAGGACGAAACAAATGACATTTGAGCGTGCTTTTCAATCATTGGCCCCGTTTTCACAGCAGCATTTCTGGTTAAGCAGTGTAGACATTACAATCCGTTATGCTTATTTTAAAAAAGGCCATTGATTCCGCTGTACTGCTTACTTTTGTGGACCAGAGGTCGGGTGGGCCATGATTCCAATCATCGGAAACGTGAAAATCGCCAATCAAGCCACATGTGAAAATCAGTTTATTTGGTGATCTCATAAAAATGAAAATTAATATGGACATGGTGGGAGATCACATGCGCTTCCTGGAAGCCTTCAACTGTGCAGTGAAAATTAAGAAAACGAAAGTGGCAGTGTGATTTTGACGGTGAAGCACTTGAAATGCTAATTGCAGTAGGATCGCAATTGTTACAGAATATGTCAAATGAGGTTCGCTACCAATGGGTGTGGGGGGACTGTGCTTTAAATGAGCCGAGAAGAAAACAAGGTGGACGAAAAAAACGGCGCGTTCTGCGGCTCGGAAATGTTGAAATCAAGTAGTGCATATGAGTAAACGATAAAGAGGAGGGCAACGATCTGGGCATAGCACTTGGTAGATGGAACGAGCAGAATGGGCAGTCTTGCTGTCGTCAATTTACAAGGCATTTTTTGCGTAGTGCTGCAAGTATGGTGTGTGTGAACGTCAGCACAACCATATGGATGGGAAACATGGAGAGGGTTGATTTTTCGTTCTTGCATAGTAAACTTCAGTAGGTTACGGTATATTTTGCATGAAGGATTGCAGTGTAGTTCTGATTGCTTCTGAAAGCAATGCGAGCTTGGTAAAGGAATCGGGCTGTTTCTCTCTCTCTGGCGACTACGAAAGCGTATGATGAGAACTGCTGAATGGTGTGTGCACGCGGTGTGTGCAGCCCAGCGCCAAAAAAGGTGGTCAGGAAAAAGGAAACTGCTGGGAGTTAAGTGCTGCCAGCTTAAAACTGATGCGAAAGAAAACATTGCCAGTTGCTTCAGTGGAAGTGAATGAGCTACTGTTATCAGTATCACAGTGAGGAGTGCATGGGTTCGGCTGATCTCCTGGCTGCATCACAGTAAATTATTGATATCTTTTCTTCCCCTAAAATATAGATTGTTTTTTGTAAAAAATTGCTTTACACGTGGGTTGTTGCTGCAGTTTGCTGACGATGAATCTTATACTCGATTTCCTTATTGACATTGGTACTATTACACCGAAAGGAAAAGAGGACATTTTGTATCAGTTAAGTTTACCGCCGCCATCAACGATTGAGAACGTGCGCTACAATATGGAATGGTCGTTGCATGCTCGAAGAGAATCGACAACGAATGCATTCAACAAAAAAATGCTGGAAATTATGAGCAGGGTATGTTGTTTGGTTGCCTGGCAACTCCAGCTTTTGTCTGCATTTTGATGAAATCCTGTCAGTTTTCAGAAGAAGACATGCCTTTGTCTAGCAATCGACAATACGAGTTGTGATGAGGTCTTACAAATTGCTGAAAAGACTGGTGATTACATTTGTGCTGTGAAATTACATGCCGATATTATGGAAGAATTCAACGACAGTTTCGTTCAGCGACTTACTGTCTTGGCAAATAATCTCGACTTTATTATATTTGAGGACAGGTAAGTACATTTTACAAGTAAGCTCGATGTGGCGGCTAATCGCTTTTCTCCAATTCAGTGATTCGATTCTGTTGTTGAAGATTTATTGATTCATTTTGATGATAATTTGGCATTGGTGCACATTAAGAAGGAAAAGCTGCCGTTGGTTTGCTTTCAAGTAACCCTCGAAAGAAAGCTCGTCAGCAGGTGCTTGCTGTTGATGGTTCGCTGCTATTGTGTAGTTGATCTGCTTTCGAATGTCAGTGCCTTTCGTGAGAAATGATGCATAGGTTTTTTGTCTTTTTGAGAATATTACACACAGCAGCAGTTCAAGGCACATTCGCTAGCTGTTCTGTCACCACTTTGATAGTCTTTTTTGTTTTTCAGAAAATTGGCCGATATTGCTCATACGGTGAATTTGCAGCTCACCAGCGGGCCATTTAAAATAGCATCCTGGGCGCAAATTGTCTCAGTACACGCTCTCTCTGGCCAGTCTGTTTTGAATGCTATACGAAAAGTTAGCGCTAATATATATCTTTCTAATAAATTGCCGTCTAAATACTGGCAGTGATTTATGAATCGTCGTGGTTGCTGTAGAGCTGTGAAGTAAATTTGCTTTTTGAGAGCAAAATTTAGCGAAATTAATTTCCATGCCTTAAAAAAAGTAGTTGTCCTGGAAATCGCCTTCTTTACGGTCCCAGTACTGAACGTTGACTTCTGCGATAGAGCAGTAAAAGAATTTGTCGCTCGGAAGAGTCTGAATTTTAAGAAAGGTTTGTC